CCCCTTTTCCACTTACACATTTAGCACTTTCATTACCAAACAACTTTCTACTTACACATTTAGCACTTTCATTACCAAACAACTTTCCACTTACACATTTAGCACTTTCATTACCAAACAACTTTCTACTTACACATTTAGCACTTTCATTACCAAACAACTTTCCACTTACACATTTAGCACTTTCATTACCAAACAACTTTCCACTTACACATTTAGCACTTTCATTACCAAACAACTTTCCACTTACACATTTAGCACTTTCATTACAAACAACTTTCCACTTACACATTTAGCACTTTCATTACCAAACAACTTTCCACTTACACATTTAGCACTTTCATTACCAAACAACTTTCCACTTACACATTTAGCACTTTCATTACCAAACAACTTTCCACTTACACATTTAGCACTTTCATTACCAAACAACTTTCCACTTACACATTTAGCACTTTCATTACCAAACAACTTTCCACTTACACATTTAGCACTTTCATTACCAAATAACTTTCCACTTACACATTTAGCACTTTCATTACCAAACAATTTTCCACTTACACATTTAGCACTTTTATTACCAAACAACTTTCCACTTACACATTTAGCACTTTCATTACCAAACAACTTTCCACTTACACATTTAGCACTTTCATTACCAAACAACTTTCCACTTACACATTTAGCACTTTCATTACCAAACAACTTTCCACTAACACATTTAGCACTTTCATTACCAAACAACTTTCCACTTACACATTTAGCACTTTCATTACCAAACAACTTTCCACTAACACATTAAGCACTTTCATTACCAAACAACTTCCCACTAACACATTAAGCACTTTCATTACCAAACAACTTTCCACTTACACATTTAGCACTTTCATTACCAAACAACTTTCCACTAACACATTTAGCACTTTCATTACCAAACAACTTTCCACTTACACATTAAGTACTTTCATTACTAAACAACTCAATATGTGTGCATTGGTCATGTAAATGACAGTGTGATGGTGGTCTATGTGGTTCACAATTGCAATTTTTTTTATGGAAACCCCCTGGGGATTGTTGCTGAAGCTAGAATTCATGCTATGACCTTGTATAATTTTGTCTTGTTTTACAGACAGTGGACATTCCATCTTGTGTATATTATCGTTTCTGTGCTGTTCTATATTGTGTTCTTCATACAGCTGAATGACCTGCTGTTTTATGTCCTATAGCTTATAGATACTTTGTTACAACAGGTGTGGCTAAGCCTAGCTGACCACTATCTGTATCAGTTGAAGATCAACTGGGAGCAGACTATCAGGTTCACCTTCAATGAGAGAAGCAACCCGGATGATGAGCAGTTGGGAATGCAAATTGTGAAGGTGACATTGTGTACTTAAAAACTCTTGTGATAATATTGAAGTGTTTTGAATACACATGGACAGTTTCTTTTACTCTGATTACCAATAAGTTGTAGCTGTGAAAAGATACTACTTATTATCTTCATATTTTCTATTGTGACACAAATTACATGTTGCAACTCTTGCCTTGCTTTCTATATAAATTTATGTATAATAAACAAACAGACAATGTACTGAGGGGCACTTATCTTCTATACAATGACAGGCACAGGGCACTACAGAGAAAGGTATACCTCAGAGTTGCAGCAGATAGGGAACATTCTCTGTGTGAAACTTTGGGTGAGATCAGTCAAAACAGGCAAAACACACACAAAATAGCATTTCACATCCCCCCGTGGATTCCAGGGCCCTATTATAGGAAAAACAAGAATAGACCCACTGCCTACCCAAAAGCATGTCGTAAGAGTTGACTAACTGGGAGCTTCTTTAAAAGTCGGAGTGCATCTGCCTGAGAAGCAAGGAACCAGCAGTCTGCGTACAAATGAGCCAGATCTGTAAAACGGATGCACATGCAACAGTCAGATTCTGGAACAGGATTGCAGTCCAAAAGTGGATAAACAACCAGAACTTTCGGCCAAAGTTTACAGCTGGTGAACGTGAAGAAAAAGAAGCATTACACAGGGAGTGAATGCTACTTTCATCCAATAATATTGGATGGCTGGTGATGCAGGCACATCAGTAAACAGCTGATCAAGGACAGTTTACGTGAGGCAGTGTGATTATACAGAGATAGCTCTGGTATGAGATGGCAAAAAATATGAATGAATTACCAGTTTTTTTTTTTAAAGAGAGCTTTTTGTGTAATATCAAAATAACCAGTGTGAGAATGATTATGGAGGTGGCAATCACAGATTTATGATGGTTGGAGGGTAATACCACCCAAAGTTTTATAGTCATAACACACTTTGTGGTTGAAATTGCTTGAAAACACCCAAAACAGATTCATATTTTAAGTTTTCTGCCCAGGACTTGAAGGTGTCCAGGAAAATCCACAGTCTGATAGATAGGCTGCTATTGGGTGGTAATATACTTTTGATAAGGCAGACATGGTGAATTTTTCTCAAGTGTCGAGTTTTGATTGCATTTTGTTTTTAGTATCCAGAAGCCATGAGTTGTTAACCCTTAGGCTCGGTATTATGGATATCGCAACCCTTCAGCCTTGATTCTATGATAAACACCGTAAATCTGGGAGAAATGTGGCTTTTCTGCCTACCCCCGGGCGTGAACCCGGACCACAAGGAGTTCATCACCTGGTCACTGTGCAGTCCGGTTTAGCCAACTATGCTAGAGAGCCGGGCATTGCATTTTATAAATTTGCCTTTATATTGTATTCATGTTTTCAGTATAGCAGACCTATGACTTCCATTAGTGGCGTTAAATATTTCTTTACTGTGGGTAATTGTGGCATTTAAAAAGTACTGTGAATGAATAAGGATAGTAAAGCTAAACAAAATTTGAATCTCAAAATGTCTATTATTGAAACCGATGCTGTTGGTAAAAGTAAAAAGTACAATCAAGGCTAGTTGCTACTGTTGCAGATCTTACTCGCACACACAAGGCCAGAAAGCCAGCTCGTACTACAGCAATGTTATATTTAAAAAAGGCCAAAAAGCTAGCCCATCCTGTAGTAGACTTTGAATTAAAAAAACAAAACACCCGTCCCCTAATGCGGCGGACATCGTATGAAAAAGCTAAAAAGCTAGTCACTGCTGCAGCAGATCTTGTATGAAAAAGCTAAAAAGCTAGTCACTGCTGCAGCAGATCTTGTATGAAAAAGCTAAAAAGCTAGTCACTGCTGCAGCAGATCTTGTATGAAAAAGCTAAAAAGCTAGTCACTGCTGCAGCAGATTTTGTATGAAAAAGCTAAAAAGCTATTCACTGCTGCAGCAGACCTTGTATGAAAAAGCTAAAAAGCTAGTCACTGCTGCAGCAGACCTTGTATGAAAAAGCTAAAAAGCTAGTCACTGCTGCAGCAGACCTTGTATGAAAAAGCTAAAAAGCTAGTCACTGCTGCAGCAGACCTTGTATGAAAAAGCTAAAAAGCTAGTCACTGCTGCAGCAGATTTTGTATGAAAAAGCTAAAAAGCTAGTCACTGCTGCAGCAGACCTTGTATGAAAAAGCTAAAAAGCTAGTCACTGCTGCAGCAGATCTTGTATGAAAAAGCCAAAAAAATTGTCACTGCTGCAGCAGATCTTGTATGAAAAAGCTAAAAAGTAGACACTGCTGCAGCAGACCTTGTATGAAAAAGCTAAAAAGCTAGTCCTTGCTCTACAGACATTGCTTGAAAAAAAAAAAAAGCTAGTCCTTGCTGTACAGACATTGCTTGAAAAAAAAAAAAAAAGCTAGTCCTTGCTGTACAGACATTGCTTGAAAAAAAAAAAAGCTAGTCCTTGCTGTACAGACATTGCTTGAAAAAAAAAAAAAAGCTAGTCCTTGCTGTACAGACATTGCTTGAAAAAAAAAAAGCTAGTCCTTGCTGTACAGACATTGCTTGAAAAAAAAAAAAAGCTAGTCCTTGCTGTACAGACATTGCTTGAAAAAAAAAAAAAAAGCTAGTCCTTGCTGTACAGACATTGCTTGAAAAAAAAAAAAGCTAGTCCTTGCTGTACAGACATTGCTTGAAAAAAAAAAAAAAAAGCTAGTCCTTGCTGTACAGACATTGCTTGAGAAAAAAAAAAAAAGCTAGTCCTTGCTGTACAGACATTGCTTGAAAAAAAAAAAAAAGCTAGTCCTTGCTGTACAGACATTGCTTGAAAAAAAAAAAAGCTAGTCCTTGCTGTACAGACATTGCTTGAAAAAAAAAAAAAAGCTAGTCCTTGCTGTACAGACATTGCTTGAAAAAAAAAAAAAAGCTAGTCCTTGCTGTACAGACATTGCTTAAAAAAAAAAAAAAAAAAAGCTAGTCCTTGCTGTACAGACATTGCTTGAAAAAAAAAAAAAAGCTAGTCCTTGCTGTACAGACATTGCTTGAAAAAAAAAAAAAGCTAGTCCTTGCTGCAGCAGACCTTCTCTCTTTCTTTCTCTCTCTCTCACACACACACACACACACATGCACACATGCACACACTCTCTCTCTCTCTCTCTCTCACACACTCTCTCTCTCTCTCTCTCTCACACACACACAAACACACACACTCTCTCTCTCTCTCTCACACACACAAACATACACACTCTCTCTCTCTCTCACACACACAAAAACACACACACACACACTCTCTCTCTCTCTCTCTCTCACACACACACTCTCTCTCTCTCACACACACACAAACACACACACACACACACAAACACACACACACACACTCTCTCTCTCTCACACACACACACACTCACTCTCTCTCTCTCTCTCTCTCACACACAACCAAACACACACACACTCTCTCTCTCTCACACATACACTCTCTCTCTCTCACACACACACTCACTCACACACTCACTCTCTCTCTCTCTCTCTCTCTCTCAATCCTACTGTAGCAGACTTTGTACAAAGAAAGAACCCACAATCACCAATAGCTGAGTTTCTGTGTCTACTGATCTTTAGCAACTGTTTTTTTATCCCCTTGATTTTCTTCTCCAAATTCCAGGATCTACATAGGACAGGCTGCAGCAACTTTAGCGGTGATGACAATGATGAAGATCGTGCTGTGCTGAAACGATTACTGCTTGCCTATGCACGATGGAATAAGCGAGTAGGATACTGCCAGGGATTCAATGTTATTGCAGCACTGCTTCTGAATGTCATGGATGGGAAAGAAGATGATGCCCTGAAGGTATGACTACGTTGAAAAACTGTACATATTGGGTGTGCTGACATGTTTTTGAACCTGTTCACAAACTTTTTTAAGAGTGTGATGACATTTTTGCACCCATTTCTAAACTGTCTAGATTTGCATAAAAACAAGAGAATGATACAAATGGGAGTAAAACATCAAGAGCTGGACAGACAGCTGTCTGAGGGAGGGTACAGCCAGAGCAAAAAAAACATAGAATGCTGGAAATTCATTGGATCCAACCTTCATTGTGGAGATGGTACCTAATTGATTGATTGCATTGTGTAGATAGCAGCATTTCTTCTTTTTTTTCTTCTGAAGCAATCAAGATTTTGTTTGCATCTATTCAAGTAGGGTTCATAAACAGGACAGTGTTATAGAAGTCTTCATTTGTATGTCACATTTTCTCTTGTAAGAATGCTCTTGTTGGCCAGATTTCTTCTGACTAGCAGCGTCTGGGTAGTCTTGTAGGACATGCTCTGGTACACCACAAAATTATGCAGCAGAGTTAGCAAGACCCATTCGATGTGGGTGTGCTCTGAATTGACAATGTCCTGTTCTGAGTCTGAAAATCTCATTTGCCCATTTTTGCTAATCCTGTTCATACTATCATATTCTGGTCTGCAATATTTATTGTTCTCTACCCAATTTGTCTTCCTGGATCTCTTTAAGAGTGTCTTAGCCTCTTTAAAGCTCTGAGGTGGATGTGGCTGCCATATTTTTTCTGCAGCCTTTGTAGGTTTGCTTTTTCATGTCCAAGAATACTACTGTGGGCTGGTATCCACTCCAGGACTAGATACCAGTAGTGAGAAAAGCCATCATGCTGACCATAAAGATCAATTAGGTGATTTAAGACTAACAAATATATGTGTCCTTCAAAGACATACTTGGATTATAGGATGTCTGACTGACCATTTGTATTGTCTGTTGATAGAGAACAAATACAAGAAAAATATAAGATGTGTATTGTGGTTTAAAGTGAAGCAAAGGAATGCAGAATAGAGTATTGCAGTATGACATATCCACAATAAATATCATTATTAGAATATATGAGCAAATGGCTTTTTCCAAAACCATATGGATGTAGAAGTCAAGGAGAAGTTACCTTTTAAGTTTGCAAGGGAAACCATCATCTGTCGCAACACCTCATCAAAACAGTCACACACAAAACAAAAGGATGAGACCTCAGGCCTGGCGTTTAGGTGAAACAGGGAAGAGAAAGATCTCATAGCAAGTACTTGCCCATGTGGGCTCCAGGGCCCCATTGTTGGGGGGTGTAGTATGTAGTAAAAGTTGACTAATGAGGGTAATGTAGATACAGATCGGGGAACTGAAAGAGATATTGAAATATGAATAGAAAGGCAAGAGGAGCTATCACAGCACTAGGGAATTTATGGAGGTCAAAAGAAATTAAAACTAATACTGAACTTGATTTTTGTAATTCTAATGTCAAATCAGTACTGTTGAATTGAGTGGAAACGTGGAGAACAACTAAGGCAGTTACTAATAAACTACAAACATTCATTAACTGGTGCCTGCACAGAAAAGAGAGAATTAAATGGAATGATAGAATCACTGTTGTAGAGCTTTTTTGTAGAGCAAAATAGAACTAAACAAGTTCTAGTGGATCAAGAGGTGAAGAGGCTGGTGTCGGAAAGGACATACATTGAGAAAACCCGAGAACAATATAACTAGAATGTCTTTGCACTGGAACCCACAAGGGCATAGAAATAAAGAAAAACCCAAACAAGGAAAAAAAAACATAGAGAAAGGAGCTAGAGAGTGAAGTTAAAAAGATGGGTTGGACATGGTGAGACTTGCATGTGATAGCAAAGAATAGAATGACTTGGCCTGAGTTGGTTGAGGGCCTATGCTCGATTAGGGTTTAGAAAGGCAGAAGAAAAGAAGAACTCTCAATTTCTCATAAAAAAGTTTCTTACTGGTCGGTTATTTTTCAGGTCATGATTTACCTCATTGACAGTGTTTTGCCTGAGAGCTACTTCTCAAACAACTTGAGGGCTCTCTCCGTTGACATGGCTGTGTTTCGTGACCTTCTGAAACTGACATACCCCAAACTAGCCAAGCATTTAGACCGCTTGCAGCTGGCAGCACAAGATATAAGAACAGGTTATGCTCAGTTATTTCTTGTTGTACTGTACCAATGCTACAACAGCTTGTGAGCTCTGGTTAATTATTGTGAATAACTGCAATATGATCAGGGGTGTAGCCACAAAGAAACCATGGAGGGGGATTTGAGGGCTTAGCCCCCTCTCTCCCCCCTCCCCCCTTTGATTTTCTGGGAAAAGTTGTGAGGGGTTTAGATGTACACATTATTATTGTTATATGATAAATCCCAAACACATATTTGAAATAAGATTAAATGTTTAAACTAAAAATAAAAAAATAGAATGTCTATACACGGTTTTGGGGGAGGGGAACTTTGTCCACCTGAAACTTTTCTGGGGAATGGGGGCCTCAGTTCCCACAAGTAGCTTTGTCTTTTCTTTGTCAAGGTGGCTGATCCCCCTTGTTCTGTCACCACTGAGTATGATTATATGTCAGCAATGTCCAGGCAAACTTGCACTGCTCTACTGTGTTACAGCTGCACATTTCATTTGTACATCTCAGAGAAGTGGTTTGTCAAAGGGTTAGGATTCCATCTCATCAGGTACTGTATATGAGTTCTCAGTCACAGTAAGGCACGTGATTTGTATCTCTCAGAGATGCAGTACATGTGTTTACCTTTAGATTTAATCCAGAAAAGGCATGGGCAAGCAGCCTTGATTTCCTGTCCTTGAAAACCCCTCTATCAGATGCCAAAATAGTACAAATGCTGTACTGGTGGATTTTGTTTGGAAAGTTTTCAACATAATATGTACGTATGCACACATCCTGCATGTATAAATGACATTCTCAGATGAGTTATCTATTAATCTTGTGTAGACACACCCAGTTATCTAAAGTCATTGGTTAGCTTTAAATGGGAAACAATTAGTGATAGTGTAGATATGCCTGATTATTTATTAATTATTCTACAAGAACTACATCAAATGATGTATCACTTATTGTGTAGATATATCCAGTTATCTGTAATTCATAATTTAGACTCAATTTATCATTATTCAGTCATTGTGTAATCACATCCAGTACTGCTCTACACTTGTGAAACGTGGACTGTGTATCAGCGTCATGCTAACAAGTTGAATCAGTTTCATATAACGTCTCAAAAAGCTGCTCAAAATCAAATGGCAAGATAAGATCCCAAATACTGTTGTTCTTGATAGGGCAAACCTGCCTAGCATACACATGATACTGAAGAATTGTCAGCTATATTGGGCTGGTCATCTAACCCGCATGCTAGACTGTCGCCTCCCAAAGAGAGTATTTTATGGCGAGCTCCAGCAAGGGAAGAGGTGCCAGGGAGGACAGGAAAAGCTCTATAAGGACACTCTGAAGAAGGACACTCTCAATTCTTTTGGCATCAACACAGCGACATGGGAGGCTGCTGCACAAGACCGTTCTGGATGGCGTACGTCCCTCAGACATGGTGCATCAGCCTGCCAGGCAAACTAGAAAGAATTGTACTGCAAATTCCACACTTACTGCGGCTTCCATCTGTTGTACGCACTGCTCAAGAACTTTCCTGGCTCATACTGGACTAATCAGCCACCTTCGTACTCATAATCATTGATCATTACTACTTTGGATGAAAGTGGTCTTCATCACTCGTGATGGACGAACAACGTAATCACATTTATTGATCAGTCAGTTGTTATGTAATTACATCAAAGTGTTTATCAGTCATTGTGTGGTTACTTCATTCTGTTTTTCTTGTGGAAACGTACTGTGATATAACGAAACAAACCAAAGAAATGACAAAGTGTAAAGTAAATAGAGTTCTATTATTATATGACTGTTTCCATAAACAGGTGCCTGCTATGAACCTCCGTTGCCTAATGTGTTCACCATGCAGTGGTTTCTGACACTGTTCGCCACCTGTCTACCAGTCAACATTGTCCTGCGTGTTTGGGACTCTATTCTCCTTGATGGGTCTGAAATCTTACTCAGGACTGCGCTCACTATATGGGGAAAACTAGCTAAGTAAGTAATTTATTTCATGTTTACCATAGCCTTTGTGAGTCATAGACTTTACTCAATCATTGAAGAACAATGAAATTGAACTGAAATGCTACAGCAGAATTCTTAGAATACCATCAACCAAGAAGAAAAACACCAGTATCCTACCTGATCAGGTTATCAAGGAGAATTGGCTCATAAACAGCATCCTATCCTGAATACTGATGTATTCTGGCCATGTACAACTGGGTCATGATGAACTAGAGAGAATGATGATGATAGGTACAGTTTCTGGAAAATGAGTCAGACTTCTGGGAAGGGATACAAATCACATATGCATTAGTTATGAAAGCACATTAGTGCTGGAGAATTGGCTAGGAAAGAGAGACTTTCTCGCGTGCCATAACAATAGCAGCATTCTGTTAAAGACCTGCTGATTGTTGACGGATGATTACCATCTTCTTTGGTGGTGAAGATCAACTATAGCTTGCTTTGACAAATGTCAGATCAACTATAGCGTGCTTTGACAAATGTCAGATCAACTATAGCGTGCTTTGACAAATGTCATTTGTGCCATTGATGCTGAAGATCAACTATAGCTTGCTTTGACAAATGTCATTTGTGCCATTGATGCTGAAGATCAACTATAGCTTGCTTTGACAAATGTCATTTGTGCCATTGATGCTGAAGATCAACTATAGCTTGCTTTGACAAATGTCATTTGTGTCATTGATGCTGAAGATCAACTATAGCTTGCTTTGACAAATGTCATTTGTGCCATTGATGCTGAAGATCAACTATAGCTTGCTTTGACAAATGTCATTTGTGCCATTGATGCTAAAGATCAACTATAGCTTGCTTTGACAAATGTCATCATTTGTGCCATTGATGCTGAAGATCAACTATAGCTTGCTTTGACAAATGTCATTTGTGCCATTGATGCTGAAGATCAACTATAGCTTGCTTTGACAAATGTCATCATTTGTGCCATTGATGCTGAAGATCAACTATAGCTTGCTTTGACAAATGTCATTTGTGCCATTGATGCTGAAGATCAACAGCTTGCTATAGCTTGCTTTGACAAATGTCATTTGTGCCATTGATGCTGAAGATCAACTATAGCTTGCTTTGACAAATGTCATTTGTGCCATTGATGGTAAAGATCAACTATAGCTTGCTTTGACAAATGTCATTTGTGCCATTGATGGTGAAGATCAACTATAGCTTGTGCCATCTAGTTGGCAACTAGTTTTCTGATTTGTCCACTCATTTGTAGATATCTGTGAGGTGTGTTAAAATGAAAACCATAATTGCTAGGTCAAACTGGGCAGCACATGGGGCATAATGATAACTTATCCCAGTGATTAAAAACCGACCAGTAGTGAACAAGTGTTCAACCAAAGTCCTTCTTCTTGGGTTGTATCTACTGGTCCCTAAAATGTCAGATCCGGTAATTTCGTACAGCAGGGTACCAGCCCTGAGCTTCATGAACTCAGGTGGGCCCACCTCTGAAAACGTCTAGGAGATCGTGGGCCGAAACGTTTGTCGACGAGGATAACTTCTACTGATGACTGGTAGATCCCTGCTGTACTTGCTCCCTGTGAGTTTATTCCTATAGCTTGCTTTGACAAATGTAATTTTTGCCATTGATGCTGAAGATCAACTATAGCTTGCTTTGACAAATGTCATTTGTGCCATTGATGCTGAAGATCAACTATAGCTTGCTTTGACAAATGTCATTTGTGCCATTGATGCTGAAGATCAACTATAGCTTGCTTTGACAAATGTCATTTGTGCCATTGATGCTGAAGATCAACTATAGCTTGCTTTGACAAATGTCATTTGTGCCATTGATGCTGAAGATCAACTATAGCTTGCTTTGACAAATATCATTTGTGCCATTGATGCTGAACATCAACTATAGCTTGCTTTGACAAATGTCATTTGTGCCATTGATGCTGAAGATCAACTATAGCTTGCTTTGACAAATGTCATTTGTGCCATTGATGGTAAAGATCAACTATAGCTTGCTTTGACAAATGTCATTTGTGCCATTGATGGTGAAGATCAACTATAGCTTGTGCCATCTAGTTGGCAACTAGTTTTCTGATTTGTCCACTCATTTGTAGATATCTGTGAGGTGTGTTAAAATGAAAACCATAATTGCTAGGTCAAACTGGGCAGCACATGGAGCATAATGATTACTTATCCCAGTGATTAAAAACCGACCAGTAGTGAACAAGTGTGCAACCAAAGTCCTTCTTCTTTGGTTGTATCTACTGGTCCCTAAAATGTCAGATGTAGGTTTGAAGCTTATGATGACTTCTTCTGACAACCCTAAATGAATTTATGTGTCCCAAATATTTCTTTGTATAATTCTGCCACACTGCTGATATATCTGTCATACATTTGTCCAAAAAAATTAAAAATAAGATGAGAGAAAAAAAGCCACTAGGACAAGTTTATGACTAGAAATTGCAGCTGGAATGACATCTGCAAATTGCTTGTCAGTACTGTCACTGTCACACAACAGACAGACAGACACATGCATTTTTCGTTTTGTAAAATAGATACAGGTTTTGTATTTAATACAGTGATATATTTAACACAGGTTGTGTAAATAAAAACTGAGTAAAGTAAAGAGCCTTTCATGCCACAGGTGCATTGGGCACATGAGGCTAGACTCAAACCAATGGCATTAGATGGGTGATATAGCCAACTTTGTGCCATTACTTCCCAAGACATTTCCTGGGACCCATTTTAGGCCAAGTCAGCCTGGTAGCCAATATCATAATTTTTTTTTGTTTGAATCTGCTTTTATTTTTTTTAATTTGCCTGGCCAAATTTAAGCTCAATACCTTAAAGCCAGCAGGTGAGCTGATTTACTGATTTAAGAATTGACATCAGAGCACACCGGGTATACCCATGGATGTCCTTTCTCCTTTAGCAACATTCTTGAGGTGTAAGTGCTAAATCATAGTGAAAATCATAACTTATTTCTTCACAGCAAAAACAAAGATAATGCATACAAACAAAACTGCCATGGAGAAGGAAATTAGGTAATGAGGAAAGCTGGTGGAAATTTCGAATATCTTGGGGTCACTGGTTACCAAGCAATGGTGACACATTTAACGGCGACTATCAATTGCTCTTCAAAGACTAAACACAACTGAATAAATTATGGAAGCAGATAGAATTACAAAGGTCAGATTTTTTAAGAGCATGGCATCTTTCCCATGTCAACATACGCCTCCTGGACACTTACTAAACAAGCGGAACAGCGCATAAATGCATTTGAATATAAATGTTACAGACAAGTTCATTCTTGGGTAAAGAAAAAGAACAAATGCATTCCATACTTCAAAGAGCAGGGTGGCTAGTAAAGACAATAAAAACAAAGAAAATTGAAATATTTTGGTCACTTGAAACGTCATGGAGTTAGAGACAGTAACAATATGGAGGGGTATATGCCGGGAAGAGAGGAAGAGGAAGGCCAAGGAGAAGATGGGTGCAGGATGTGGCAGATGATCTCCAGATGGGTGTATCAGACGCAGGACATCTTGCTCATGATAGGAAGGTTTTCCGGAGGGTTGTTTTGGCAGCGAGGTTCCGCGAGGGACATGCTACTGAATGAATGAAGTGCTAAATTCCCTTAGCATACTGATCATACATACCTTGTTCTCTTCCTCTCATGCATCCCTCCTTGCCAGATAGATACCTTATTCCTTGTTCATATATTGTTGCACATTTTATTTCGTCAAATCTCATGTTTTCTCTCAGCATTAATTCAAACATAGACTTCAGCATGTCTCCTTTCTCCAGTTCCAATAGTTATCACTCTTGTAGCCCAAAAAGCTGCTCCTTTAATCCCTTGCAGCCTGCATATCCCTGATAGTATATCCACATGTGTTCCTGTAATGATGACCTACTATTGAGCTACTATGTTACTGTGGCTGCTGTTATGTATTTAATACAGATGTATCTTTATGAGGTGATATATACCGTTTGATGCTGTTATTAATATGTAATTACTATCATTTGAACAGAAAAATCATGAATGCATCAAGTGCTGATGAATTTTACAGTCTAATGGGAGAGTTGTCTTCTTGTATGATGCAGGGATCTGTTTTTGATGGAGATGCTATCATTAAGGTACTGTCTGATACATGTGTGTAGACTTGGTGTTACTATGATCATTACTGAATAATTTTTGCTTTAGTGAAAACTGTAGATTATACAAGGTCTGACAATTAAGTAATGAGACTGATTTTATTATGGCCAAAACAAAATTGCCATTTATGAAGCAAAGCATGGAATCAAAAGAGGCAACATTCATCTATGATCTGGCAACTTTTCATCGCCGCTCGATAAGCAGACAATAAAGAAGCCACCATTTGGTTGACCTAGTCAGAGGTGCATTGTTACCTAATCAGCACAGAGCTAAAAGCTAACACTACATTCTTTTTAAAACTCAGAAAAGCGCCATTGAAACAGTTGAATTGATGCAACAGGTTTATGGGGATAATTGTTTATATTGTGCACACATTTTCGGGTGATATTCACGATTCAAAAGTAGTGTGGAGATGATTACTAATGCACCTGGACCTGGCCAAATTTATGTTCGTAATGATGAGCTCATTGCAAAAGTCAGAGAACAGATACAGGAAGATCATTGTTTTACTGTAAGGATGATGGCAGACGAATCTGGTGGTAATATAGAGACAATTCATAACATTTTAGTGCAAGATGTTGGCAAGAAAAAAGTTGCTTGCCGGTTTGTACCACATTTGTTGTCTGATGACCAAAAACATCAGCGGGTTGAGTACCCAAGAAACACCATCAAAACAGGAATTTTAGTCCAAAAACAAGTGTGTGTTCTCAGCCTTCTACCCTATTCTCCAGATTTGTCTCCCTGTGATTATTTTCTATTCCCAAAATTAAAGTTGCGATTGAAAGGACACTTCCAAAGGGCTGTAACATTGACTTTAAGGGTCATAACAACAGAAGAACTACAGAGGTCGTTCCAGTGTTTGTTAGATCATGCCACTAGCTGCATAAGTGCACAAGGGGCTTTCTTTGAATCAGATACAGGTTATATCTTCAACTGTTGATTATTTTAGTTTTAATGGAATTAGTCTCATTACTTAATTGTCGGGCCTTGTATATTTGTGTGCAAACATAACTATGTTGCATAATTATGTGTATTTTCATATTCACATATATTTTTATACTGTGAAGCCTACCTGAAGTGACACTAAACATTACCAAAAAAACAAAAAAACTTTTAGACTATTTTGAAGACAAATGAAAAAACAAAATCTTGAAACTGTGTGTGTGTGTGTGTGCACTTGTGCATGCGTACACACACATACACATTCAGAGCAGAGACATAACAAGTGGCAAGGAAGATCGTCTGTCAGGCATCTTTATAAATCTCAGTCTGTTCCATTGATGCTGCTGTCACAGCCTCTCACTTCTCATCCAGAGAGAGAAAGAGAGAGAGATTTACTTGAAGTTTCTACACACATGTGCACATGCATGCACACACAAATGCACAAGATACACAGTATATTTATCATGTCTCTCATTACTTAGGGAGAAGTTATTACTATCAAAAATGAAACATACAAACCTGCTACTTGGTAACACAATGTAAAAAGAAAATGTTTGTAATATTATTGTCAGAGACAGAAGTATAGGCTACAGACTTTTGATAGATTTTTGTCTTCCTTTTTTTCATCAAACAGTTGAACTCATATGAATGAATATGCGAAAAAATATCATGTTTTATTTTCCACAGTCCATTTACTCCATGGGCGACTTCCCTTTGCCACATTTGAATGAACTGCGAGAAAAGTACACATACAACATTCGTCCCATTTCACAGCCCAGTGGAAACAGCAAGAAGAATGGCAAACGTAGTGTTTTCAAGAGCATACTCAACAGTGATGAAGATGATCTGGATGATGATGACATTGCTGCTATGGCTTGCTTGCCTGGTAAGACTGGTTTTATACATTGAGATGGAAAAACCCCTTTTAACCTTTTTACCCCATTATCACTTTTTAAAAGTCTGGGAGGTCACAAAAAATCCTTCAAAAACTATGATTTTTTACACATCGCTAATACATTAAAGAAAATGTATTTATGTAAAAGTAAGTAAAGGACCCTTTTCCACGTCTTTCAGGCTTACTGGGCATATAGGGCTACACCTATATTTTATAGACCAATGGCAGAAGATTGGTGATGTGGTCAGCATCATCACACCTGGTACCCACTCAAGGCTGAGTCGACCTGAGAGCCAAGGTCATTTTTTTTTAAAGTCCGGCTCCGCCAGGGAGCAAACCCACGATTTTCTGATCCACAGGCGGGCATCTAGCTGCTACATCATGGCGACCCCCAATGTATTTATGTAAAATTGTTAATTCTTGTTTTAAATATGTAAAGATGTGAAAAGGTAGTAATCAGTGGACATGGACAGACTCAGGTGAGTCGGGGGCATCAGTGTATCAGACATTTAAAACTCATTCTTCAAAGTGTTCCTAATAAACCAACCAATGGCTAGGGTTGGATCCAGATTTAAGCAAAGACCCCGTCTTCTGATATTTCTGCATGCCAACAGTGTATGTACTCTCTACTGAAGCAAAGTTGCTAGCGTTGGTTGGGACTTGTCTCTCACATGGAGGACGGTTGAGTTCCTAGGGATCTCCTGTATGGTGAACAGGTAACAGGGATCAGACCTGCAGGAGGGCCAAAGCTACGCTATAAGGACATAAGCAAACATAAACTGAAATTCTTGTATATCAACATTAGCACAACCACGTGAGGGAGATTAGCTGCAGACTAACTCCTTTGGAGGCAGACAGTGTAAGATGGACTGTCACAGTTTGAAAGAGACTAGAATGCAGCAAGCGATACAGAGGAGATGTCTGAGAGAAAATCAGCCTCAGAATGATAGTGTATAAACATTTTTATGTGGAGTGCGTAACAGAGACTGCCATTCCCACATTGGACTTTACCGTCATAGCAGGCGCTGTTCCTAAAACAAGCGGACTAAATTTGATGGTCCCTACGTACTGATGGTTGCCTACCACTCTGCATGTTAAAATTCAAACCCAACTGCTCAGTGTTTATGTTATTATAATGCCTAATGTATTAATACTAAGTGACTAACAAATCAGCTAACACCAGCAAAGGGGATAATATTGGAGAAATAATAAATTAACTGCTTTTTTGCTAATGACCAGGCAATCATAGTACTGACAGTAGTACAAGAACATATTAAGACTCCACTCATCACACAATTACTATGATGTGAAGATCAAAGTAGACAAAATAAAAGTGATGACATTCTCCTGAAAAGAAAGAACCACCAATATCAATGTTGATGAACATCAGCTAAAGCAGGCAAAGGGCTTTACATATCTGGGAAGCATTTTTTTTCAGAAGATGAAAGAATTAATAAAAAAATTCAACAAAGATGCAATAACACCAACCAAGTTTTAGGCCAAATGGCACCAGTTTTGAAATGCAAACATGTGAATATGAACACTAGAAGTATACTGTTCAACACAATATTCTTACCAATGCTATGCTTTCAATGTCAAACATGGACACTGTCTTCAGAAAACAGAAAGACAATAGTCACAAAGAAATAAAAAGTTTACCTTTTATGCTAGGTGTAACAAGGAAAGATGGACTTAGGGTTGATGATGTCAGGAGGAGAGTCTGCAGAGAACGAATACAGAACTTTATCGGTCGACAACTGATCAAATGGTTTGGCCATGTAACAAGATTGGTACCAGACATGGCACCACAGAGAGCAGTGTTATACTGATCCTAAGGTAACAGAGCCAGAGGACGACCACGCAGAAGATGGACGGCAGAAATATCAAAGATACTGAAAAGTGCTATATACAAAGCAAATAGAAGGATCCGTTCAGAGATCTCTTCCTGCCCTGATGCTGTGAGACATTCTAGGAGTAGAGAAAAGAAGAAGAAGTAATAATACTTAGTGTTGTGATATCTAGGAGCGGCTGGCCAAGTGGTAGAACAAGTGGTAGAAGTGGTGAGATGATTGTTTTTCTGTCAAGGGTGGGGGTGGGGCAAAATTAAACATGCTTACCTGAACAGTATATGGTGACAGCGCTAGCCAGGCGGCCCTAAATCCTCAAGCTCAAGGCTTCCCTGTCTATTCAGCTCTAAAAAAGTGATAAATCAGACAGTAGTGACAGTTGAGATATCAAAGGTTGTTTCTGTTGTTATTTAGAGCATTAACAACACTCATATAATCACATGACTCATATCAACAACAGACAGTAATAAACTGCAAGTAATTTCCACGTAATTACATAAAAAATTTTCTGTAAAGTGTCTGTATCTCTTTAAGTAAAGTTGTAGATGAGACACATAACACATATTTGTCAGTGAATGAAATAACTCCGTTCTGTGTCTTAAAATGTTTAGGTAGTGTGGACTCCTCTGATATTTCTGTCTTGGGACCTGGAGTTTATGGGCCAGAGATGGAAGAAGGCACATCAAAAACTGTCCCAGAAATGGAACGAATGACAACAGACATTCAGAGTTTGAAGTTGCAGTATGAACGATTAAAACAGCGCCAGCGACAGGCTCACGTTATTATTGCTGGTATGCTGCATGATTACATTATCATTTTATTTTATGCATTAGATTGCAAAGGCTGTCCTTATTTACTCACTGCTGTAAGATTTTTTTTTTTTTAAAATTAATTAATTTATTTTTATTTTTATTTTTTAAAACTATATCAGCACAGTTTTATTTATAGACTGAATTTAATCTTCCTCCTCCTCTTCCTCGTCTTGATTAATCTGGAAGTAGCGGAGCTCAAAAGCTTCCTTAGAGGATGCTACAACTCTCAGCCAGTCACGGAGGTTGTTCTTTTTCAAGTACTTCTTCGTCAGGTACTTGAGATACCTCTTTGAGAAGGGAACCTCACTAGCAAGGTTGATTTTGTTTTTCTGCAACTCCAAAGAGACATTATTTCCAAAGTTGCCAGTCTTGCCGTCAACCTTAATACGCTCTTTCAGATACTTCTGAAAGTTTGCAGCGTCCTCCACAGGGTGAGTCCAGTCCACTGTGTACTTCAAGGTGGTTTTCATTTTCTTGCCACCTTT